TCGTTGCACAGTCAATTAGTGGGTATTTACTTGCGTGTAGGTAAGAAATTAACTCAGTGGATATGTAACCATACTTGGAATTGGGTAAGGAAATGTACATTCATTTAAACTAGACATATATGTTAAATAGTTAAGATTCCATTGTAATTCCAGTGAGAAAACACAATCTTCAAATAAATACTTAAATAGAGACGTTCAAATCACCTCTAGTCTCTATAGAGAGAAAAAAAACTTTGAAACGTTTGTTTAGTTTTTATGATTAGAAGAGTAATGAACTTTTGCTTTTAGCAAATGAAATCTCTTAACAGTATTTTGGTTCTCTCATGTTTGTATTTGACGGCTACGTCATGGCTTGTTTGTTCCGATCGTTTAGAACAGAAAGATTGCGACAAAGATGTAGTAAAGACAGTGGTGGTTGGTCATTATGGTGTAGCTAATTTCAGAACCATCCAAGCAGCCATCGACTCCATTCCCTTCAGTAACAGCAATTGGATTAAGATTTATCTTAAACAAGGAACCTACAAGTAACTCTCATCTCCAATTTCTTCTTTCAGTACATGCAATTTATTATAGAGTGAATTAGGTAAGCGACAAGAAATAAAGAAGTATATACGAAATTGATTGCCGAAATATTGTCATTATAGGTGCAATTATTCATTCTAATATGCATCACAACTTAGAAAAGAATCAAGCGATTGACTTATTTTATATGTATTATTTGGGATTTACCAATATGTGTGTATGTGTTGATGCAGTGAAAAGATAGTGATTCCGAAGGAGAAGCAAAAGATAATAATGCAGGGAAGCAACGCATCAGAAGTGATAATTCAATATAATGATGCAGGACTATCCAATTCGAGTGGTCCTTTCACTGTAAACGCAGAGTACTTCGTCGCTGTCAATATTACATTCAAGGTTAGGATTTAAATAGTTACTATTGATATGTCTACTTCTCTTAATCATCTTCTTTAGTGATATTTTCATATATATTAATGTAATTCGGATTAATTTTCACATATATGGATAACACATGAAATTAGTAGAATCTGAAACTAATATCATGTTTGTGCAGAATACTTTTACCAAGAGAACACCAATAATACTGTATGATGAGATAAAGGTAGCTCCATCAATTATACTAATGGCGGACAAGGCATGGTTTTATGGCTGCAGCTTCATCAGTGTCCAAGACACACTCGCTGATTTACTCGGCCGCCACTATTTCCTAAACTGCTACATCGAAGGAGCCATCGATTTCATATGGGGAAGAGGCCAATCTATATACCAAGTAGTCTCGTACTTGTCTCTTAAATATACACCAATATAATAGGCAATAGCATTGTATC